CTATGCCAGCAATTATTACTGAGTGGTGGTCATGAACTTGGGAAATGAATCATTTTTCTTTTAAAAAGAAAGCTTCCAGTTCTGCGCTTCTTCTCTTTTCTCTGCTCCCCTTCCATACTTCTTCCTCCTCCTTCAGCTGGACACACTTAATAGTCTGGGAATGGGAACTGGATACACCAGAATGACCAACCTTATGACTTAGGATGGGGGACTTGGGGTCACAAGGTATCAGTGAATTGAAAAACTGACTTCATCATTACAGGTAATCTATTTAGCCTCCAGAACATTCTGGACACAGAGGCAAGCTGAGCAACATGAGATGGCAATCCTTCCTGCGACTCATCACACATCAATGCCAAGAGTGTAATACAAGCTGAGTGTAATACACTCATATTTGGCACTTTCCTAGACTTTGCCCCATACATCTCTTCCTTTGATGATTTTAATGTATCATTTCCCTATAATAAATATAACCACAAATTTAGTAGCTTTTATTGGGTTGTGAGTATAATAAATTATCAAAACTGAGGGGGGTTTTGGGAAATCTTTTCACTCAGTTGTCAGAAATAAGGGTGATCTTATATGGATTGTTTCCTCTAACTGTGTAGTAGGCACTTGACTCCTGTTTTGGAGGAAAGTCTCAGATAGACTTCACAATCTGAAGAAATGTGTCCTTCACCTCCAAATTTGACCAATTCCTGGTACCATGTCACTATTTATTACTTCTCCTGAAAATTTGGGAGACCTTGCATCATCCTTGAAATCTTGGTGATTTCTGGAGTGAGGTGAAAAAAGGAAACATCTTTCACATACTTGTCTTGAAGACTCATTTGTCTTGCATGTAATTGAAATGGTGTAGGTTAAATTCCTTGAGAGACAAAGGAAAGTTTGCTCATATTACTCATAAGGCTAATTCACTCAACAATGTTTGTGCAGCTTTTACCAAGATCCAGGCATTATTTTAAATACTTTATGTGCATTAACTCATTTAACATTGATAATATTGTTGAAGCTGCCTCCATTAATATTATTATTCCCCCACTGCACAAGGGAGCGGACCGGGGTGAGTGGGTAGGGGAATGAAATAACTCAAAATCGTAAGTGGTGGAGCCAGGCAGAAACTCAGATTCCAGAACTGTTTGTAACCATTTTGTAATTGAGACTGTGGATTCAAAGATTTGAATCTTGGATTAAAAGGAGCCCATTCTAGTGGGAAGACAATGCTGTTATAATACAACAAGTTGTATAATAGAAAGATTTCAGAAGTTGTAGTAACAAATCTGAGTTGCCTCAATCAAAATTGAGATTTTTAAAATAATTTTTAATGAAGTATCACTGTCTCACATCCTTGTTAATTTTTTGACAGTATTGAACTTCTCTCTTCAGGTGTGGTCACTGTTAGCTCTTTTTCTCTGCTTTATAACCTCCCATCATCATGTCTCCTAAAAGTACCATCCACTCCCACCCCAAATTATCTGGAAGCAATTCTTTGTTGCAAATATCTTTTTCCAGAGTAACATGCCTTTAAATTTTGCTTATGGTGTTTTGTTTCACACAGAAGTTTGAAGTTTTAATTTTAATTTTTTCCCCTCATATGACTCTACTATACAGGAAAGTGGAAATAAAGATTCCCCTGTGACTTTGAAGAAGTAAGCTGCCATGGTGCAAGAAGGCCACATAAGAAGGAATTGCAGGTGGTCTGCAGCAAGCTGAGAATAGTCCTTGAGTAATAACCAGTAGTAAAATGGGACCTGAGTGCTACAGCTGCCTGTCACATAGTTTAAGCTTTTCCCAGAACACCACAATACATTTAGCTGTTATGTCTCTTTAGTCTCCCCTTGTTTGCAATGGTTTCTCAGAGTTTCCTGAGTTTTGATGAATCTGGCAGATTTAAAGAATGTATTGTGTAGAATGTTTCTTCAATTGGGATTTGCCTGTGTTTTTCTCATGATTAGTTTGGAGTTACATGGTATAGGGAGTAAGACCACAGTGGTAAATTACTTAATAAATTACTAAGCTTTTAGTAATGGGTGATGAAGACCTTTTCTCACTGAAGCTTCAGCTAACCTGAGCTAGTTTCAAATGGTACATCATTCTGCAGTGCTGATAGTCCAGATCTGCAAATCTGCTGGAGATGATGGAGAGGCTAGAACACACACGCCCTTTTCATCTTTTCTTTCATTTAACTAGCAAGTTGATAAGTCCAGAAAAAGAAGACCTCCTTTCAGAACCACCCTTGAAAGTCATCTTGTGGCCTCTTGCTCTGGGTCTTAGGAATTTTCTGGACAGAGGGACTACAGACCAACAGACTTCAGGAGGTATTTCCTGCCATGATTCCTGGGTATGACTGCTAATTTACTCCAAAAATTCACTAAGCAACAGGGCTCAGCTCCTCAGTTCTAGACCTAAAATCAGAATTCCAAACTTCTGCTTGAGTCCTACATGCTTCTTTGTTCATTTTTGTAGAATAATTGCTCCTTGTTGCCTAATTCCATGGCTTCCTCTCCTATAAATAACTAGAAGGGAGAATCTAAAACAAATCAGCAAGGCTGCTTGTTTTGACCAAATTGTCAATTAATTAATTCCAGGTGCTGGGAGTTGCAATCAACATCTGCAACAAGAGCAGCATCTTCTGGATGAACAGAAGAAATGAACTAAAATGTTGGGGAAAGAATCTGAGATCTCAGTGCCCAGGCTTCATGACTATATCCAGGGACTGATGCTACTTCTAGAACTCTACAAGCAATACTGAGAGGAAGAGCTAGCCAACACTGTACTAGCTAGTGTACAGAAGAGGAGAAGGAAAGTTTTAATTACTTCTATTTTCAAATGGGAATTATTGATGGAAATCTTGATACTGGCTATATTTTAAAAGGAATGGGACAAAGTACTACCCCTATTTTGTTCATGTATATGACTTTCAAGAGAATTATGATTCCAGCAGTAGGTCAACGTGAAAGAATCCCAGGAAAGGATCTTTCGCATAGCAGGTATGCTTGAGAGTGCCACAGAAATAGAATTAAGAATGATATTATAAAAGGCAAGACACAGTGCAGAGCAGCTATGGCAAAGCCAGGATGTACTAAGTGGGTAGGAGGGTGAGACAGCCAGGCCTCTTTCTCACTGCTAATCCTGGGGCAGCTTCTGGGGAAATTTCTATTTTCATTCACAATTTCAATTGCCTTGAGAGACTGAACATGTATCTACCATGCATACACGCACACATGCACACACAAGCACCTCCTTCTCTCATAGCGTCCTCATTTTCATGGTCTCCATAGTTGGGGATAGGGATTCCCCGTTTTCTTGGGCTGGTGTGTGGGCTGGTGTTTCGGCTGTCCCTGTGTGGCAGCTGCTGTGGAGGGATACACAATTCTTCTTGGGGCCACGACTTGTTTTTCTTTCAATTATTTTACTTCCTATTGTCTTCCTTCAATGAAGAAAATCTTGGCATATGGCCTATCTTCTTCTTCTTCAAAAAAAAAAAAAGACAGTTCTGGTTTCCATTTTTAAGAGAATTTTGGCAGCTGGAGTCACAGTGCTGGATATTTTACTGCATTTATCAATCAAACAATGTACATATGGAAACAGCACTATCTAGATAAAACTTCAGAGCAATCACTGTTCACAAGAAGCCATTTCAAAACAAGGATTTTCTAATCACAAGTGGAGCAAAAATAAAACTATAAGGAGTGGGCAAAAAGATTCGATGATCAGGTAGAATGATACACTGCTTTAGTTCATAAATGTAAAGATTGGCAATTACTTTGTAGTAGGTCTGATAAATCTGATTTTGAAAGTCGGGAATCCATTGTTTACAAATCCAGACACCAAACTCAAACCCTTTTAAGTAACAATGGGAGGGCCTCCCCGGTGGCGCAGCGGTTGAGCGCTGGGTTGCGAAGCTGCCTGCAGCCTCTGCAGCACCGGTTCGATCCCCGGCTGCTCCCCTGCCACTGGAGGAGGGTCCCGCATGGCACGCAGACCTCTCCTGCCGCCCGCTGCTCCCCTCAGCAGTGTACCTCGGTCCTTCTGCCTGCTCTGCTCCCCGCTCTGGCTCTGGTGAATTCTCTCGCCCTCCCGCACTTCTGACTGTACCCAGTGTTTGTATAAATAAATAAATAAATAAATAAATCTTAAAAAAAAGTAACAATGGGAATTCATTTTTAAGATTCTAGGTTTTCTCAGGGAATCCAAAGAAGAGTTAAACACTAGATATAGAAGTAATGGGGGTTACTTCAATGTGAGCTTCCATTACCACTGAAACTTCTCTCTTGGTGCTGTCTGACTTTTCCCACATGACAGAAATGAAGGTGTGACTTTCCTCCTTCATACTGATTAGTGACTGACCTAAGTCCATCAGTCCTAAGTCTAAATATTCAATGTGGGACTTATTGGCATAAGCTGGTAAAGGTGCTCACTCTGGACCAATAAGCTGTAGCTGAGAGGTAGGGCACCAGACTGGCTTAATTTGGATCTGGTGCCCACCCCTTGTCAACAGACAAGGGTTGGAAGGTGGCAGGTGGAGTGATAAAGGTACTCACAGGGAGGTTCCCATGTAAGCCTTGTAAATTGAAGACAGACTGAGCACAAAATAACATAGATGTCATCTACACAGTTTAACACTCTTTGGAGAACTGCCCTTTGTGTGCTTGTTTTCCTTACAGCTTTGCTGATTATAGGAAAATAGTATGTTTCTTCAACAGTGTGGAATGGAACCCACATTTATGTTTGTGCCTGGGGGATATTTTGGCTTTAGAAGGTTAGGCTCTCACTCTCCCTAGAGTGAGCTCTGATGGCATTAAATATTGACCTTTGCAAGAACCAAATATAATGGATGCTAGCCAACATCATGGTTTGAAGGGTATTGTGTTTCTTCTAATTAAAGGCTCATAGGCAGCAGCTGGGCTGAGGAAATGTTCAAATCAAAGATCAGCATCTTATAGCATGCTGATTTTCAGTGAACTGTGAGCTGGGATTCATTGCCACACACCTCTTCCTGCCACTTAGGAGAGTCATTGTTTACTGCTGTTTCCATCGTAAGAAAATGTGGCCAACATGGTATTCTCAACACACTCCATTCCCCTTAGGACTCTATAAAAATAAGGAATGTCTCATTGATATATACACATTTGAAATCTATTCATCTGTAACTTAAAGGTTATTGGCGACTGATTAATAATTTCTGGTTTGCTTAATTATAAAACAATCATTATCACTGAAACAATACAATGCTCCAGTAATGCTAGTAAGAGTAGTGGTCAAGGATCACCCATGCCACAAGGACAATTTGCATTAACATAATCACATAGAGAACCCTCAAAGACATAGCAAGGTTAGGAAGAAATGCATTAGAAATTCCCAGCCATCTCTATGGCTTACATACACAGGTAATACAATCTCACTTCTGAGCAGGAAGTGAAGAATCAGAGGCACGTGAATCAACAAGGGAAAAAATAAACAAATGGCTTGTGAAAATATTATGTAATATAAGAAATGGCAAACGGTTCATTAAAGAAAAAAAAAAAAAAATTGTGTTAGGAAAAAAAATAGTTAAATAAAGAAATCCAAAGTAAATCTTTGAAAGCATATGTTTTGTGTTCTCATTGAAATTCTCAAAAACCTGTCCTTTATCAAACAAAAGAGGGAAGAGAAGATAAGACTATAGATTGTGATTAAAAGGGAGTTGCTCTAGGAAGAGACTAAAAAGAGTGAATGAGGTAAAAAATGTCATAAAAAATTTTAAATCTTCTGACTTTTAAAGTTGATACTATAAGTTTAAATAGTTGTAATGGATCTACTTTCAGGTATATTATGAACTTTGATAGTTCAAACCAAAGTAAATCAGCACTATTTAAAATGTATCCAATGTTATCTAAATGCCTTGATTATTTCGATAATGACCATACCTACTTTATTTTTATCCAAGTAGTGTTGCATTATAACATTATAAAATTTCAAGTGTGCACCAGATCTTTCTCTATTTTAAAATGTACTTGAAAAGACCCATCATTAATAGGTGAAAATTTAAGAGTTCATCATGTTTTTATTTTTACTTTTCTCTGTAGAATTTATATTATTATAGGGTATTATCAACATGAGCTATTTTATTCATCAATTTTCAACACCAGGAATATGAACTTATATTTAAATTTAAATCTTTAAAAGTTTCCCATGACTATAGGTTCTAAGAGTTAGAGAAGTTTGAGTTCTAGTTTGAGTTATTAGAATTGCTGCTATCCAACTTATCAAAATAACATAAACATATCACGTATTTTAACCACAATATGTATGATTTTGGGGGGAATGTCCTTCTTAATGAGATGGTTAGGGCTATTTATCTTTTGGGCAATCAGCTTATATAATCATATATAAATATTTTTTATTGTTAGAATAAGACATGATTCAGCATCCATTCTATTCTTATTTTTTAATTTTTATTGCTGAAAATGAAGGGCAATCGTATTGACATATACAGAAATAGAAGGAATTCTATGATGGTAATAACATGTATTCTTTGAACTCCTCTGACTTGCATGTAAAAAAAAACACATAACTACCTAACATCAAAAGTTATTTGAAGGGGCGGAGCAACATGGCGGCGAGGAGACGCTGCGAGTAAGATCTCCCATTAAAAAAAGTTAATAGGGAGGAAAAGCGGCAGGTCCCAGTGAGAACTGGGACACGGAAGATAAACGGGTGACGCCAGCGAACTGCCCGAAGAAGAAACTGGCCATAAAAGAGGACTAGAAGGGAGGGAAGCGCAGAACCCTGCTCCCCTCCCCCGCCCACAGAGGCGGCACTCTCCGACCGGCAGAGAGGAGGAAACAACAAACCAAAACGGCCAACAAGAAAAACGGACACAGCAAGCGGGACTGTGAGTGGAAAGGAACTATTGCAGCCACCACACCCCATGAACGGGAGCTGAGGCGAACCCTGCAGGATCCGCCGCAGCGGTGAGCGAACGGCTCCGGGCGCCATTAGAGAAGAACAAAGACCCGGGAGACGCGCACACAGCCCGGGCTGCCGGTAAGCTTGCGCGGAGAGCGGTGCGCTTGGCGCGCTTGAAAAGCAAGTGCAGACCTGGATCGCGGCTGCCCAGGTCCCCGCGCCTGCGACCTAGGCTTGCGGGGAGACGACCTAGGCTTGCGGGGAGACGCGCGGAGGTCCTCACTGAGGTGACGGTCCCTCCCTGAGTGAGCAGGAACCAGGCGCCCAGGCACGGGAGCGGTGCAAAAGGCTCCATTCCCGCGCCACTGAACTGGGCTACAGCCCGCGTCCTGGAACTGAGGGCTTTGAACTGAGACCCGGGGCACGAAAATTCGGGGCGTGGTTTCTCCACGACGGTGGGGCACAAGGCAGACACAGCACCCCAAAGCTGTTGAGGTGTACCCTACCATTCCCGCTCTGTTCTCTGTCCCACGGGGTGGGGGGAGGCGAAAAACAGCCCCCCAAGGACAATAGGAGAGATCTCTGGCGCCACCTAGCGACCAGGAAAAAAAAAAGTCACTAACACCCTATAAAACAGGACATTTCTTAAGACTGCTTGAAAAGGGCAGAAGGTTTCTGGAGGACCCAGTGGCCAGCCGGAGTTATTCCACGCCAGGCCCCTTCCGACCAGCAGTCTGAGCCCACAGGGAGCAGGCACCCACGTCCGGGGCAGACCGGGTGCGCAGAAGAGTGTGCCTGAAACCGGAGGCGCAGGGACTGCATCCCGCTTCGCCATTTGAGAACAGGGGCATTTCTTCAGTAAAAACTGCCTAAAACCAGCAGAAAGCTCCCCCAGAAGACAGAGATGGCTCCTGGAAGAGCCAGAGGGGAGCGGAGAAGTTCACCCAAGAATTCAGTCAGTCCGAGCAACACAGTGTCCCAACGCATACGACAAATTAGAAAACAGACAGTAGGGAGTAGAAGAACCACACGCAACCTAAAAACTCCTCAGGAAAGAAGCACACCACAAAAAGAAAACCACTCCCCAGATTGCAACGACAGCAACTTGGAAGAACTTCTGAGCCTTCCAGAAAGAGAATTTAAAATTGCCATGATTAAAAAAGTGATAGATCAGAAGAAGGAAATTGAGTCCCTAAAGAGGGAAGTAAGAGAAATGCAGGAGATCAAAGAATTAATGGAGGAACTAAAGAACTCTGGGAAAAGCAATGAAAGCAGAATAGATGAAATGGAAGAACGAATAAGTAATCTTGAAGACACAGAAATAAAAAGAACCAAAACAGAAAAGGAAAGAGAAGTACGAAGGAAAAAGAATGAAGAAAGACTTCGGGAACTATCTGACTCCATGAGGAAAGGAAATATAGAGTTATAGGAATTCCAGAAGGAGAGGAGAGAGATGTAGGAACAGAGAAAATATTCATGGATATAATTGAAGAGAACTTCCCAAATGAGAAGAAGGAGCTGAAAATTGATATACAAGAAGCAAGAAGAACACCAAACTTCCACGACGAAAGGAAAAACACAGCAAGACACATAATAGTAAAGCTCCCAAGAATCCAGGACAAGGAAAAAATAATGAAGCTGACAAGAGGGAAGAAACAGATAACATTCAAAGGAAAACCAATCAGGCTGACATCAGACTTCTCTGAAGAAACACTACGGGCAAGGAGAGAGTGGAGGACATAGTCAACAGACTCCAAGAAAACAGATGCCAACCAAGAATACTCTATCCCGCAAAGCTCTCTTTCCTCCATGAAGAAAGAATATGGACCTTCCCAGACAAAGAGAAACTCCGGAATTTCATTGCGACTAAACCCCCACTCCAAAAAATACTACAAGGAATCCTAAAGCCAGAACCTCAGAGGGACGAATAACAACGAAAGAAGACCAAAAAAAAAAAAAAGTTATTAAAAGAATAAATAAATAAAATCAAAGGAAAGACAAACATAATGGCAAATACAGATGCTAACATATCAATATTAACTCTAAATGTAAATGGACTAAACTCTTCAATAAAAAGACACAGAGTTGCAGCCTGGATTAAGAAACAAAACCCAACCTTTTGCTGTCTCCAGGAAACACATTTAGCTACAAAAGATAAAAATAGGCTCAAAGTCAAAGGATGGAAAACAATCCTACAAGCAAATGGGCCAAAAAGAAAGCAGGAACAGCTATACTTATATCAGATAAAACAGACTTCAAACTCAAAAAAATAAAAAGAGACCCCAATGGTCACTACATTATGATTAAGGGGACAATACTTCAAGAAGAAATAACACTCATTAACATATATTCACCAAACGAAAGAGCACCAAAATATATCAGACAACTGTTGTCCTCTCTGAAAACAGACATCAGAGAAAACACATATGTAGTGGGAGACTTCAACACACCACTATCAACAATGGATAGATCAACAAGACAAAAAATAAGTAAAGAAACTAAAGCTCTAAATAAGGACCTAGAGCATTTGGGCTTAACAGACATCTATAGAACACTAAACCCAAAAAAAACGGAGTACACATTTTTCTCAAGCGCACATGGATCATTCTCCAGGATCGATCACATACTGGGGCACAAGACAAACATCAACAGATACACCAAGATTGACATCATACCAACCATCTTTTCTGACCACGAAGGCATCAAACTAGAAATAAATCATAAAAAGAAGGCAAGGAACTATCCTACCTCATGGAGATTAAAAGCCACACTACTGGAAGACCACTGGACTAACGAGGAGATCAAAGAAGAAATTAAAAAATTCTTTGAATTGAATGACAAGGAGGACACCAATATCCTAAATGTATGGGATGCAGCAAAAGCAGTAATAAGAGGAAAAATATAGCAATAGAAGCTCACATCAAAAAACAAGAAAGAACTCAAAGAAACAACCTAATCTCGAAGCTCAAAGATCTAGAAAAAGAACAACAAAAAAACCCCAGAACCAGTAGAAGAAAAGAAATAATAAAAACCAAAGCAGAAATAAATGAAATTGAAACTAAAAAAACAATCCAAAAGATCAATGAAACCAAGAGCTGGTTCTTTGAAAAATAAATAAAATAGACAAACCCCTAGCCAGGCTCACAAAGGAAAAAAGGGAGAAAGCACAAATACACAGAATCATAAATGAAAGAGGAGAAATCACAACGGACACAGCAGAAATCAAAAGAATAATCAGTAACTACTATGAACAGTTATATGGAAACAAGTTCAACAATCTAGAGGAGATGGACAAATTCCTACAACTCTACAATCACCCAAAGCTAGATAAAGAAGAAAATAGAACACCTAAACAGACCAATTACAAGCAGCGAAATTGAAATGGTAATTAAAAACCTCCCCAAAAACAAAAGCCCAGGACCTGATGGATTTACAAATGAATTCTACCAAACATTCAGAGACGAATTAGTGCCTATCCTTCACAAACTCTTCCAAAAAATTGAGAAGGAAGGGACAATACCAAACACGTTCTATGAAGCCAATATTACACTAATACCAAAACCGAATAAGGACAACACAAAAAAGGAAAACTATAGGCCAATCTCCCTAATGAACACTGATGCAAAAATCCTCAATAAAATTTTAGCTATCAGAATCCAACAATGTATCCATAAGATAATTCACCACGACCAAGTTGGATTCATTCCAGGGGCACAAGGATGGTTTAACATCCGAAAATCAATCAACGTTATCCAACACATCAACAAAAAGAAATATAAAAAACCATATGATAATATCAATAGATGCTGAGAAAGCTTTCGACAAAGTGCAACACCCATTCATGATAAAAGCCCTTGAAATTCTTGGGATACAAGGAACATACCTCAACATCATAAAGGCCATCTATGAGAAGCCAACAGCCAGTATCATTCTCAATGGTGAAAAGCTGAAAGCAATTCCATTAAGATCTGGAACAAGACAAGGATGTCCACTCTCACCACTGCTTTTCAATATAATACTGGAAGTCCTAGCCAGAGCAATAAGACAAGAGAAAGACATCCAAGGAATCCAAATAGGAAAAGAAGAAGTCAAACTATCACTATTTGCAGATGATATGATAATATACATAGAGAACCCCAAAATCTCCACAGAAAAACTAATTCAACTCATCAATCAATTCAGTAAAGTGGCAGGATACAAAATCAACACGCAAAAGTCAGTAGCCTTCCTATACACAAACAATAAATCTGAAGAAGAAGAAATCAAAAAAACCACCCTTTTATTATCGAAACAAAAAAAATCAAATATTTGGGAATAAATCTAACAAAAGAGGTAAAGGACCTATACAAAGAAAACTATAAAACACTGTTAAAAGAAATAGAAGAAGACACAAAGAAATGGAAAGACATCCCCTGCTCATGGATTGGAAGAATAAACATTATTAAAATGGCCATCCTACCAAAAGCAATATACAGATTCAATGCTATTCCAATCAAAATCTCAATGGCATTCTTCAAAGAAATAGAACAATTATTGATGAAATTCATATGGAATCACCAAAAACCCCGAATAGCCAAAGCTCTACTGAAAAAAAAAGAAGGAAATGGAGGCATCACACTCCCAGACTTCAAACTATACTACAAAGCCATAATCATCAAAACTGCATGGTATTGGAACAAGAACAGACATACAGACCAATGGAATCGAATAGAAAATCCAGAAATAAACCCACAGATTTATGGTCAACTAATCTTTGACAAAGGAGCAAAGACTATGCATTGGAGCAAAGAAAGTTTGTTCAATAAATGGTGCTGGGAAACTGGGTTGCTACATGCAAAAGAATGAAGCTTGACCACTACCTCACACCATACACAAAAATCAACTCAAAATGGATTAAAGAACTAGACATAAGACCTGAAACCATAAAATACATAGAAGGAAATATAGGCGAAACACTACGGGATTTGTACATCAAAGACATCTTTACAGACACATCACCCAAAGCAGTGATAGTGAAGACAAAGATAAACAGCTGGGACTACATCAAATTAAAGAGCTTCTGCACAGCAAAAGAGACAATAACAAAAACAAAGAGAAACCCCACCAACTGGGAGAACATTTTTGCACCCAACACTAATGATAAAGGACTGATCACAAAAATCTGCAAAGAGCTGATGAGACTCAGCAACAACAAAGAAAATAATCCAGTCAAAAAATGGGCAGAAGAGCTAAAAAGAAACTTCTCTGAAGAGGAAATGCAAATGGCCAACAGACATATGAAAAAATGTTCAACATCACTTGTAATCAGGGAAATGCAAATCAAAACTACCATGAGATACCATCTCACACCAGTGAGAATGGCACATATTAAAAAAACTAGCAACAACAAATGTTGGCGAGGATGTGGAGAAAAAGGAACTCTTGTGCACTGTTGGTGGGAGTGCAAACTGGTCCAACCACTATGGAGAGCTGTGTGGAGATTTCTGGACCTACTAAACATAGAGCTTCCATATGATCCAGCAATTCCACTCCTAGGTATTTACCCAAAGGACACAGAAACATCAATTCCAAAGAGCACCTGCACTCCTATGTTTATAGCAGCACTGTTTACAATAGCTAAGCTTTGGAAACAACCCAAATGCCCAAAAATAGATGACTGGATCAAGAAGATGTGGTACATATATACCATGGAATATTACTCAGCATTCAAAAAAGATAAACACATGCAATTTGCAGCAACATGGATGGCGCTGGAAGGGATCATGCTCAGTGAAATAAGCCAAAAAGAAAAAGAAAAATACCGGATGGTCTCACTCATAGCAGGAATCTAGAAAACTTAAATAAGGGACCAGGAAAATGAATATAAGAAAGTGAAAATCAAAGTCAACAAAAACTATGAACCAGAGACACTTTTTGGGAGCGGGGGGGAAAGGTTTGGGGTCAGAATTGGGCGTTTGCAATTGTATAGGGGAATATAAAAATAAAATTTAATATTAAAAAAAATAAATAAATAAAATTTTGGAACTCGAAAAAAAAAAAAAAAATAAAACATTCAAATCATAAAAAAAAAAACAAAAAAAAAAAAAACAAAAAAAAAAATACAGAAGGGATTGAAAATTTATAGGTGCCACTTAAAAGAAAAGAGAAATTGGTGAATTCTATTTCTGTATCTTTATTTCAACTACTATATCCCAAAGATGATCATGTCAACAAATAATCAATAAAAATGATCGAAAAAAAAAAAAAAAAAAAAAAAGTTATTTGAATTATCTAGCAGTGGATAAATCTTTAAATTTTGTTAACAGCAAAGAATCAGAAATAATGTGATATGCAACAATATGTGTCACCAAGTCCTTGAATCTTTCCCTCTATCAATATCAACACCAGTATTTCAAATTTCCCCTTTGTCACCCTGGTGTGTGTGTGTAGGGGGGGTGGATGGGAGAGGGTTGGGTGTCTAAATCCTAAGCCAATACACCTGTTTCAGTTTTATTGATGCCTAACGAACCACACCCAAACTCAGTGGGTAGAAAATAACCATTTTGTGGGCAGAATATCTAAAAAGACACTTCTCCAAAGAAGACATACAAATGACCAACATACCTTTGAAAACAATGCTCATCATCAGCTATTGGGTAGATGCAAATCAAAACCACCTCACACCAGTAAGAATGACCCATATCAGAAACAACAAGTATTTCTGAGGGTGTAGAGGAAATGGAATTCAGAGAAGGTGGGAAATGTAAACTGGTCCAGCCCCTATGGAAAAACAGAATGGAGGTTTCTCAAAATATTAAAAACATATCTATGAGGTGGCAGAGCAATTCCACTTTTTTTTTATATTTATAATAGTTTTTGAGTTTTATTAGAATATATATTTTATTTTATTTAAAAAATTTTTTTAAACAATATTTGCTTCCCTCCACCTGCTCAGGTTGAGTCCCCATAGAATTTCCTTCCCCAAGGCACCCGTGCACCATCACCTCGTCCCCTGTGCTCTTCCCTCCCTCCCTCTCATCCCTCTCCCTCCTTCTCCCCTGCAGGATGTCTCTGATTTGTAATTGTCTGTTTTTGCTTTGTTGTGTTTTGTACTGTTATTTTTTTACACTGATGTCTTATTGGATTCCCCTATATACCTGTTATAAGTGAAACCATCTGATATTTTTCTTTTTTCCTTCAGGCTTATTTCACTGAGCATAATTCCTTCTAGCTCCATCCATGTTGCTGCGAATGACATGAGTGCATCTTTTTTGGTTGCTGAATAATATTCCATTGTGTATATGTACCACACCTTCTTGATCCAGTCATCTATTTTTGGGCATTTGGGTTGTTTCCAGGTTTTACCTATTATAAATAATGCTGCAATAAACACAGGTGTACAGGTGTTTTTTTGAATCAATGTTTTTGTGTCCTTTGGGTAGATCCCTAGTAGTGGAGCAATTCTTTTATGTATCCATCCAAAGAATACAAAATGCTAATTTGTAGGTGTATACACACTCCTATGTTGAATGTAACATTATTGATAATAGCCAAGTTATGGAAACCACCTAAGTACCCAACAACAGATGAGTGGACAAAGATGTATTATATATAAAATGGAATACTACTCAGCTACAAAAAGTCATATGGAGAAAGATAAATGCTGGATAAGGAGAAATCTCACATGTGGAATATGAAGAAATGTGGAATATGTGGAATGTGATAAAATAAAGAAAAGAAACAGTTATTATCAAACCAAAACAAATCCTAGACATTTGACTGCAAAATTGAGGCTACCATAGGGGAGGGTGGAAGAGGATAGCAAAGTGTGGAAGTGGTCCAATGGATTATGGTGGAAGAATATTGAGACTTTGGTGGTGGATGTGGTAAGATACATCTTAAGAGGTGTGAACCTAAACCCCTCAATCATTTACAGTGTTGTAAACCAATGTTACCACAATAATAATAATATAATAAATAAAATAAACATATTGTTATGTTTACTGGTTCTGTGGGTCAGGAATTTGCCTCTGTGGTAGAAGATGACTGTAAGGAGTTTACTATAAACCAAAAATGGCTAAAGCAATGTACCCCATGAAACCTCAACATTGGCACCAGAACTCTCTAGAGAAAAGGACTCCATACCAAAGGGAAACTGCTGGGAGAAGTGTACAGTCAACAGAGCCCAGGAGCATTTAGAAAATATGCCACCATATTTTAAAATACTATATAAGAACAACACAAGGAGTTGTTCTTCGAAATTGAAAGAGCTCTATGAACCAAACTTCTTTCTAAATGTTCTGGAAAACTCAGTTCACATTAAAAATGAGCAACAGAAAAGTACTGAGGTCAAATCCCTTGCAAAGTTATTATAAGAAAAAAAGAGATTAAAAAGTAGAACAACATCCCCACAGACAAAGAAAGCATGCCAGTAAGACATGTTCAAAAAACAGATAAAACTATAATGGATTATTTCAAAATAAACTAAAAGGATTAAGAAAACGATATTGGACATGAAAGAATAACATAAATAAGAATTAGGAAGCCTAAGAAATGAGATGACAGACTAAGTAAAGAATTAGAAATGTAAGAAAAACACCAATTTATAAATGATGAAATGAGAAGGAAAATAAGAAAGAATAAACATGAAAAGAAGGATATACTAAAATCAAGAGGAAGAGAGAAATAAGGGAGAGGAAATGGCAAATATAAAAGACAGGTAAAGAACACCCAAAATACTGATAATAGGAGTCTCTCATGAAGGGAAGCAAAGAAATAGAAAAATAATGAGGGCTATAATTTAAGAACATTTTGTGAAATGAAATGACATTTTAAATAATATATTCAAAAAGTACATTGTATACCTAAGCAAGACATTTTCTAGTGAAACTATTATACAGTACAGAAAAAAGAAGAAATTCCATTCAGTATCTAGGTAAAAATAACACATGAATTACAGGAGAAATAAAATTAGATTATCATTTTACTTTTTGACCTTAATGTTTATGTCAGAAAAAATATTTAAAATATTCAAGAAAAGAAAATAAGAGCCAAGAATATTGTTTTCAACAAAATTGGCTTTCAAATATAAAGGACACAAAAGCTGTTATCAACATTCAGGAACTCAGGAAATACTTTTCCTATGAGATTTCATTAAGGAATTTACCAGAAAGCAAGCCTCAGACTGGTGATCCAATCAAATGAAGACTTGAAGTAAATATCAAAAATATAGTTATTTGCAGAAATAAGACTAAATGAGATTTAAAAGTAAGGAATATGCAATTACTAAATGACTGGAAACAAAGATCTAATCTAACCATAAAAATATAGGGGAAAATACATAAAAATGAAAACTTTGACTGTTTTCAGTAATTATAATTGGTAGTGGTAATATTTAATTCTTAATGTTTCATTCCCTCTAAAATCATAAGGGAATTTTGTGCTAATAAGTTTGAAAATAATAATTTTTCTTCAAAAAATATGACTAAAATTGAATTAAGAAACAAACTACCTGGGTATGCCTACAATCATAAAACAATTTAAATCAATTTTACCCATAGTATTATTTACTTTTTATTTATTGCATGATGAATATTTACTATTATATTAGTGAGAGTTCTCCAGAGAAACAGAATCAGCCAGGTGTATGTATTTGTTCGTTCATTCATTCATTCATTCACTATAACAAACTGGCTCACACAATATGGTAACTAACAAGTCCCAAGATCTACAATCAGCAAATTGAAGTCCCAGAAAAGCTGATGTATAGTTTTAGGTTGAGTTCAAAGGTCTGAGAACAAGGAGGGCAGAAGGCATGAGTTCTAGTATGAAATTCAGTAGGCTTTAGACTTGATATTTTGGCCCAAAGCCAGGAAAAGACCAATGTCTTAGCTTAGACAGGCAGAAAGAGTAACCTTTGTTCAGTCTTTTTGTTCTGTTTAGGTCTTCGATCTATTGGACAAGTCCCAGCCACATTAGGGAGGGCAATCTACTTCACTCAGCCTACAATTGGATGCTAATCTCACCCAGAAGCACTCTCACAGACACAACCCGAATAATATTGGCCAAATGTCTGGGCACTCTCTGGCCAAGTCAAGTTGACATATAAAAGGAACCACCACATTTATTTATTTCACTTACAGTATTATTTATACATAGAAAAGCTAAGATAACTTATAGAATATATTAGATCAAAAAGAAACTAGTCAATGAGTGGACATTGGATCAACATATGAAAATCAATATGGTTCTTATACACTAAGAGCAGCCAATTAAAAATTAATCAAAAGAAAGACCATATTCTCAGTTATGAAAATCTTAAGTCTAATAAAATTATGTATGATTTTTATGAAGAAAACTATAACAATTTATTGAAGGACATAAAAGAAGGCCTACAAAAATGATGAGTTATTGTGTATGCGGATGAGCCACTCTTCATAAATAAATATATAAAATCATTGCAACTTCATCTTTAAAAATCAACGGGGAGATTTTTTCATGGAATGGATAACTTAACCTCAATTTTTTTTTTTGGTAAATGTAAAGTCCAAGTTAGTCTAAACATGAGAAAAACATCAGAAAAATTCTATTAGAGGGTATCACATGCTATACTTAATCAGTATTCCTCAAACCTACAACGGTCATCAAAAAACAAGGAAAGTCTAGGAACTGGCATATTCAAAAGGAGTCTAAGGAGACAGCAGAACAAATGTGATGTCATATCTTGGATGAGATCCTGGATCAGAGAAAGGACATCAAGACCTAAGAACCTGAAAAAACTATGGACTTCAGTTAATAATAATGCACCATTATCAACTCACTAATGGTAAATGTGTTATATAAATGTATACAAATGTGTTATACTAATTAAGTTGTTAATAACAGAGGAAACTATGTGGGTTTCGGGGGGGCAGAGGTTAATATGGGACAGATTTTCCTTCAGTGGAGGAGCCCCTCCCTTTAGATTTTGAGCTTTGTGGGAGGAAGCTGCTTTCATTATCTTCTAGAAATATTTATTAAGCTTTCACTGGGTTCTTGGTGCTAAGCAGATACTGATTCACCAACAAGTTTTAGTATCCCAATTCATCGTCAGACTTCTTTCTTTTTAAACCTCAAGGGTTCTTTGTTTTCTCCAAATTGTCTAACTTTTTCAGGTCAAAAGGAGATCCTCACACTCAAAAACTTTAGGGATCCCTGGCCAATACAATGAAGTACAAATGCCCTATTACAGGAGACAACATCTTTGATGGTGTCCTAAGTTACCAATGGCTGTCCTACTGCTCTGCTCTTGGCCGTTTCCCAGTGTTGCTTCCTAAGAAAACTGCTTCAGTCCTAGTGGACTTCTCACAATTCTTAAACCTACTTCCCCACCCGAGCCCATCTACCTTTGCCTCTGCTGTTCTCTCTTCCTATTCATCCATCCTTTCTATGTCAAATATTATCTTCTCTAAGCAGTCCCTGATTTTCCTAAATCAGAGCTCCAGAGAATTTAACTCAACACCTGCTCACAGTCTTTCTCTCACTGGTATTCAATGTGTTTACACTCGCTGCTTTTCCTCTCTTCGGGACTGTGGACTCTTCAAGGACAGGTCTTGGACTCACTCATCTTTGTGATCCTAGAGCCTGGAGGTAGTAAGCATTCACTGATACCTACAGAATCACCAAATGATTAAATAAATTATCCTAAAATGTGAACTTGCCTAAAACAGGATTGGAACAAAGCAACACAAAAGAGTCACATGCGAACAGTTGAACCATTTGCCAATAGCAAATACAGTAAG